ATGGCGAAAACTTATAAGCAATAAATTTACCATGAGGTCCATCACCGATTATATCACAAATTGAAACGTTTATTTCTTGTTAATTTTGTTTTTAATTTTAAATTGACAGGTCAAATTAATCACAAATTCCAAGTTTGGTCAGGACTAAGACCAGCCAAAAACACATTTTTAGTAAAAAATCCCAAGAGTTTACCAGCAATTATCTTATTTTATCTTTTCTTATAATCCATGATTAATTTCATTTAATCAGAATACATATTCCTATACTAGTGATTAGTGAATAAGAAAAATAAAATTCAGTTATCAAAAACATTATCGAAGTGTAGTTGGCGTTGAGGAGTGTGCCACTGCATTATATCATACCTCATTTTCCCAATTATATATATCTGATCTGATTTCTCACGTCTCTCTTCTTTTTCTTAATTCCGAGTTTTTGACTCACCGAAGATCGTACGAGAGAAGAAACCGAGCTCCGAAAATGGCTTCACGAGCAAAGGGAAGGACGGTGATGGAAGTTGGTTCCGATGGCGTCGCCGTCATAACACTCATCAATCCTCCCGTCAATTCTCTATCATTCGACGGTACGATTCTCTCAGATTTACATGATTCGGAATTTCATTGGATTTACCTAATCAGATTTAGGTCATTTCGGTGTTTGATTGTTTTGCCCAATTCCTCTCTCGCTCCGTGTTTTGGTTATTGTTGTCTCCTTGATTCAGATTCAGCTCTCGATCGGATTTATGATCCGATTATGTTGAAATTCGGACTAGAAGATTTTGATCTGCATGCTCTGTTGGTTTAGTAAATAGCTTACGACGAAGCGGGAAACCTGTTTGTTGATACTCTGTTTTGTGTATTTCTTATGTACAGTACTAGACAATCTCAAAAGTAATTACGAGGAGGCCTTGAGCAGGAATGATGTTAAAGCTATTGTTATTACGGGTATGTCTGGAGATCATTCTCTTCTACGCCTAAAAAACAGAACACGTTTGGAGATGGTAATGGTTTCTGTGCTTTTGTTTTTCACTACAGGTGAAAAGGGCAAGTTCTCTGGTGGCTTTGATATATCTGGTTTTGGTGAAATGCAGAAGGGGAC